CGTCTCTACTATAAACAGAAAGAAATTAATTGGCCAATGATATATATATATAAAAAATTAGCCGGCATAGTGGCCATGCCTGTAGTCCAGCTACTCGGGAGGCTGAGGCAGGAGGATCACTCGAGCCAGGAGTTTGAGGTTGCTGTGAGCTAGGCTGACGCCACAGCACTCACTCTAGCGCTGGACAACAAAGTGAGACTCTGTCTCAAAAAAAAAAAAAAAGGCATTCAAGAGTAGACTTACCGCTTCACCCGTCCAGTACTGTCCTGGTTCAATTCTTTCATTCTTTCTTCAACTTTGTTCAGAAGCTACAATTAAAAGAAATGAATGAGCTTACAGATTGAGTTACAAGGAACAGCTAAAATTACAGACCAGAAGACTGAGGCTGTAGTGAGAGAGGTGTATGGACACATACACCTGTCACCTTCATCTCTACAGCAGCTCCAGCCTGGCCAATCCCACCCTCCCACGCCAACCATCCCTCATGGAGCTGACCTAACCTTAGTCTCAGCAACACAATAACAGGGGAGGGAAGTCTAAAGGGTGCTGTCCCTCTAAAATCCTGGGTAAAGCTTTATATAGTCTCTCCAGTGGAAAGTAAAATCATACTCATACTCAGGCAATTAAAGGGGAGCTGACAGCCAGCTCCCAAAAACAATGAGGAACAACTACTACCTCTTCTAAAACCACTTATCTGGAGGGAGGAAAGTTTAAAATTAACTGGGAAGTCAGCAATGAAGAGAAAACAATTTTAATGTCATTAAGCTAAGTGACATTATGATTCTTAAAACTTGAGTAAATAACAATGAAAAACTGACTGTGTCAATTTCTTCCTTGCTCTGTGCATCGGTATCATAACTCTGAAGGTCCAGTAACACCAAACCATGTGGGTAAATTCTCAAATTGGCAAAGCTAGAAAGGAAAGAAAATTTAAGGTTAGGCATTATATCACGGCACTCAAAAGAAAAAAGATGCCACCCCATTAAGAAAAAAAGACCACTGCCCGTTATTTCTCTAAATTACACAGTTAATCCTTTTGCTTTCTTATTAGGGCCTCTTCTCAGCGGAGAGGCTACCAATCATTTATGGAAGATTTAAAGGACGTCACCAAATGCTAGGGTTTTCAAAACTGGTTCTCGGCCCAGAAATTGATTCAGTAGCGGTTCTGTGAATATAATTTTTTTAAAAAGTTCCCAAGTGATTCTGCCAGGTTTAAAAAGAAAGGAGGGTAGAGAAGGCAAACCGGGTTCTCCCAATTAATCTTCAGAGTTCAAACCAGAGCTATTCCCCTGACCCCAATGCAAGGCAGCAGTGGGTAAATTAATTTGTAGGGCAAAAAAAAAAAAAAGAAATGTGACCCAGGGCCCTGCCTCAGAAACTCTTGGGGTGGGAGCCCAGTAATCTGTGTCACAACCAACTCTGGATCGCTGCCTGCCATCTCACATTGCTTATGCTGCCAAGGGTTCTTGGTCCTGGCAACGCAGAATCACAGGGGCTTTGGAGAAATACAGATGTCTGGGCCCAGTGGCCTCAATCTCTGCGGGAAATGGCTGGACATGGGTATTCTATGGAAGCTCTCCTGTAAAATACTGGGCTATAAGGACAATGGACACCTTACAGCTTCTGTTTACTGCTTGTTTGCTAACCGCAAGGCATTATGAATACATTATGGAATGCAGAGGAAAAAGACAAAAAACGCGGAAACCAAAATCTCTCAGCTAGGACCCGGAAACAGGTTAGAGCCTATCAGGGGCAAGATAAAATAAAAATCACTGTGGCGGCCGGGCGCAGTGGCTCACGCCTATAATCCTAGCACTCTGGGAGGCCGAGGCGGGTGGATTGCTCCAGGTCAGGAGTTCAAAACCAGCCTGAGCGAGACCCCATCTCTACTAAAAATAGAAAGAAATTAATTGACCAACTAAAAATACATAGAGAAAAATAGTCCAGCTTCTGGGAGGCTGAGGCAGAAGGATTGCTCGAGCCCAGGAATTTGAGGTTGCTGTGAGCTAGGCTGACATCACAGCACTCTAGCTCAGCAAGAAAATAAGTTTGTTAACTAAGTATGATTTTTATTTTTTGCTTTGAGAAGCAAGTTCACAAGTTATTAAATAGCTCTTATCACTCAAAAACCCCTTCTGGGAAGAATTCTAAGTCCTCTGTACAACTGGAATCTGTGTCTATGGTATTAATAGAAATTTCAAGAACTTCAGTAGAGGGGTAAGCAGGGCCTGGCTATAAAGAGCTTTAGGAGCTAATGACAGATGCAGCTACTCATCTGGGACTGGAGAAGTCACTACTGAGGTGGCAGAGTGTTGAGTTCTCCAAAGGATGGACCACGTAAAGAGAGGTGGCAGGGACAGAGAAGGCTGAGTGCAAGCCTGGCAGGAGCCAGGGGCTCTAGGACAGCTGCAGCACCTTTGCTCCAGGACATTCTCCATCAACTAGCCAGAGCATAGTGAAGGACGAAGGCAGAGGAGGGTTGGTGGTGGTGTCTTGATTTGGGTTACCCTTAATGAAGAAATATTACTGTCGATCCATTGGAGCATCTGCTAAACACATAGGGAAGTTGCTACAGAGTTAGAAATACAAGTCTGGGCTTGGGGAGTCAGACTGGAATGTCTTGGAGAGGTGTGAGATAGAAAACGCCAATTATGCACAGGGTGGCCATGTAGCATATAAAGAGAATAATGGAAGGTAAGGTGGCTCAAAAATAGAAGGTTCCCTCATCTCACGCACTGTCCTACAGCCTCTGAAAGATTGGGAAGGTGGGTTTTTTCTTTTAATAGATATACGAAGGGAGAGAAGTAGGAGATTAATAAATGAAGCCATTGAAAATATCCAGTTAACTTTTTTTTTTTTTTTTTTGAGACAGAGTCTCACTCTGTTGCCCAGGCTAGATGGAGTGCCGTGCATCAGCCTAGCTCACAGCAACCTAAACTCCTGGGCTCAAGGATCCTCCTGCCTCAGCTCCCGAGTAGCTGGGACTACAGGCATGCGCCACCATGCCTGGCTAATTTTTCTATATTTTGTTTCTATTTTAGTAGAGATGGGGGTCTCACTCTTGCCCGCTGGTTTCCCACTCTACCTTGAGTGATCCTCCTGCTCGGCTCCGAGTGCTAGGATTATAGGCATGAGCACCATGCCCAGCCCAATTAACATTTTTAAGTTAACAGTGTCAATTACTAAGAATCTTAATAGTTTGACATACTAAGCCAGTTTAGATAAAATACAAACCTAGATTTAAGAAACTACAAAGAGCTCAATGCACTGGCTTCTTCTGTTATCAGTCATTTCTTAGTTTAGGCTTTCTTTCTACTCTCAGAACACATTTACTTTCTTTCTTTTTTTGAGACAGAGTCTCACTTTGTTGCCCAGGCTAGAGTGAGTGCCATAGCGTCAGCCTAGCTCACAGCAACCTCAAACTCCTGGGCTCAAGCGATCCTACCACCTCAGCCTCCAAGTACTGGACTACAGTATACACCACTATGCCTGGCTAATTTTTTCTATGTATATTAGTTGGCCAATTAGTTTCTTTCTATTTTTTAGTAGAGACTGGTCCCTCTTGCTCAGGCTGGTTTGAACTCCTGACTGGAGCATCCGCCCGCCTCGGCCTCCCAGAGTGCTAGGATTACAGGCGTGAGCCACTGCACGCGGCCCACATTTACTTTCAAGTATGTATTTACTACAAAAAAGTCTATATAGTCTTTAAAGTCTTTTTTAAAAACCCAAGACTAGAACTCTTGGGTCATCTCAGCTTCCTATCAAACTACTTTGTAGACTTTATCATTCTGCACTTTACTATTGTCTGCATTGACTGATCATCACTCAGAACAGTGCCACTCAAGGTGTGGTCAGCCGACCAGAGCATCAACATCTTCCAGGAGCTTGTTAGAAATGGGATCAAGGGGCCGGGCGCGGTGGCTCACGCCTGTAATCCTAGCACTCTGGGAGGCCAAAGCGGGCGGATTTGCTCAAGGTCAGGAGTTCGAAACCAGCCTGAACAAGAGGGAGACCCAGTCTCTACTCAAAATAGAAAGAAATTAATTGGAGAACTGAAAAATATATAGAAAAAATTAGCCGGGCATGGTGGCGCATGCCTGTAGTCCCAGCTACTCGGGAGGCTGAGACAGGAGGATCGCTTGAGCCAGGAGTTTGAGGTTGTGTGAGCTAGGCTGATGCCACAGATCACTCAGCTGGCAACAAAGGGCAAAACTCTGTCTTCTCAAAAAAAAAAAAAAAAAGGACATTCAAGAGTAGACTTACCGCTTCACCCGTCCAGTACTGTCCTGGTTCAATTCTTTCATTCTTTCTTCAACTTTGTTCAGAAGCTACAATTAAAAGAAATGAATGAGCTTACAGATTGAGTTACAAGGAACAGCTAAATTACAGACCAGAAGACTGAGGCTGTAGTGACAGAGGTGTATGGACACATACACCTGTCACCTTCATCTCTACAGCAGCCTCCAGGCCTGGCCCAATCCCACCCTCCCACGCCAACCATCCCTCATGGAGCTGACCTAACCTTAGTCTCAGCAACACAATAACAGGGGAGGGGAAGTCTAAAGGGTGCTGTCCCTCTAAAATCCTGGGTAAAGCTTTTATATAGTCTCTCCAGTGGAAAGTAAAATCATTACTCATACTCAGGCAATTAAAGGGGAAAGCTGACAGCCAGGCTCCAAAAACAAATGAGGAACAACTACTACTCTTCTAAAACCACTTATCTGGAGGGAGGAACGTTTAAAATTAACTGGGAAGTCAGCAATGAAGAGAAAACAATTTTAATGTCATTAAGCTAAGTGGACATTATGATTCTTAAACACTTGAGTAAATAACAATGAAAAACTGACTGTGTCAATTTCTTCCTTGCTCTGTGCATCGGTATCATAACTCTGAAGGTCCAGTAACACCAAACCATGTGGGTAAATTCTCAAATTGGCAAAGCTAGAAAGGAAAGAATAATTTTAAGGTTAGGCATTATATCACGGCACTCAAAAGAAAAAAGATGCCACCCCCATTAAGAAAAAAAGACCACTGCCCGTTATTTCTCTAAATTACACAGTTAATCCTTTTGCTTTCTTATTAGGGCCTCTTCTCAGCGGAAGAGGCTACCAATCATTTATGGAAGATTTAAAGGACGTCACCAAATGCTAGGGTTTTCAAAACTGGTTCTCGGGCCCAGAAATTGATTCAGTAGCGGTTCTGTGAATATAATTTTTTTTAAAAAAGTTCCCCAAGTGATTCTGCCAGGTTTAAAAAGAAAGGAGGGTAGAGAAGGCAAACTGGGTTCTCCCAATTAATCTTCAGAGTTCAAACCAGAGCTATTCCCCCTGACCCCAATGCAAGGCAGCAGTGGGTAAATTAATTTAGTAGCGGGTGGGGGAGTGGCAAACTCCAGCCCTACAGCCTGCAAATCCAATCCCGCCCACAGCAGGCTTTTGTAAACCCTGCAGGCTAAAAATGGCTTATATTTTTACAGTTGTTTTTTAAAAAAGGAATGTGACAGTGACTGTATGCAGCTCCTTACAGAAAGTCCTGACCTCTCTAATTTAGTGGATCTCATCAGCCCTTTTTATGAAATAAATATGAGTGTATCGCATGCAATCAAAACGTGTTTGATACAACTTTTGTTTCAATTATATGCATGTATTTATACTGCATATACACAGATGTCTATTTGCAGGGTTATAAGACTACTTTGTACTATAACTTGTGGTTAAAGAAACATTTGAAAAACACTAAATTAGACAATGAATTCTGTTCAGAGAATACAAGCAGGGTGTGTGCCTGGATTTAAAAATAAATAAAACTATTCTGTGTGAATATCTTAATGAAAAAAAAGAAAAGAAATTTTATTTTTTTAAAATGTTTAGAAAAATAAATTAAATTAAAAAATAAAAATAAATAAAT